ACACCACATTACACCATCCCACTCAGATGGCTGTCCAGTTTCTTTTTGAATGTCTCCAGTGTGGGAGCACCCACCACCTCTCCAGGCAGCTGGTTCCACTGCCGTATTGCTCTGACAGTGAGGAAGCTTCTCCTGATGTCCAGCCTGAATCTGGATTGTCTCAGCTTGAATTGATTATTCCGTGTCCTGCACTCTGGCATCGGCAAGAAGGGAGTGTGACCTTCCCCTTTGTGCCAGCCTATGAGGTACTTATAGAGGGATAAGTTCTTCTGTCTTTTCCTTGCCCAATTTGGCACTGGTATGCCCACATTTGCCACAACCAGCCAAAGCTAAAGCCTTTCACATCCTATTGCTTTCCATAGGAAATGAACAACATTTACAAGAGTGCAGGCCTATGGATCTCAGAAGATCATGGACATCCTATGCAAACTGGGAGGAGCACAGAGGTGAAGGCCACCTGCATGCTTCTCTCACCCACAGTGATTTTGATTGCCTACCTGCAACACTTCAGGGTGGGAGGGAAGGAGACAAGGCACCACCAAGCTACATCATACCTCCCTTCTCCCACCCCTGGAACACCCCCTCCTCTCACCCCTGGAATCTGTCCTCAGAGTCTTTCCATGACAACTTCAAGCAGTGCAGAAAGTGCTCTGAGCATGGAGCTGCAGTCTGATGTTGGAATGAGTTTCTAAATATGGAGCTGGGATCCCAAAAGAGCCTCTGACCCTCTAGATGTTGTCTAGAGCTCCACAGGACTGTGCTGCCTCTCACTTTTATAAATAGGGCCTAAAAGTGCCCAGCTTTTTGCAAGAGGACATCTACTCCTCCCCACCATCTCAGATTCCTGTTTCAGCAGCCGCCACACAAAATATTTAGTCCAAAGCAGTTCCAAAGGACAAGCTGTTTAGGGTGAGAGGGTGTCACAGGGGACACACCAAGAGTTATCCATATCATACACAGAGTCCCTCCTCCTGGCTCTGCAGAGAAGAGGAACTTGCTTTGTACAGGGTTTGACCACTGATCCATCCAACTCAGCCCTGTGCACAGGAGGACCAGCAGCTTTCAGAGGTTGCTTTTCCCCTGGTGTGCAGCAAATAAAGTGGAGCTGCACCTCTCCGCTAATGGCCCTTCCCACCAGAGCTACTGTTGGAAAGAGGGAACTGCACCCTTGGGATTCTAATTCCACAGACCCAAATTCTTCTAGCAGTGGGAAGCAGCTGCAGCTGGCATAGAAGAGGGGCATGGCTGGGCACCAGTTGCAGCCACTCAAGAGGGGCACTGCTCAAAAGGGGTGCTGCTAGTGGTCCTGGGGGGCTGCTCCCCAGCAATTCCCTCTCAACCAGCCTTCTTCAGCTGCTGTTGCAGTCCTCACATGGCAGCTGCTCCCGGAGCATGGGAGGACTGCTCCTTGTGCAGCACGTGGGACACAATTCCTGGTCTTGGAAATTCCAGGAACTCAGAGTCTGTGTCATGGCAAACCAAACAAGAGTCTGGGGTGGGGGGCAAGCCCAGGGAACCAGACAGGTCCCTAGCCCCAGACTGTTTCTTCAGACATCCCTAACCTCAGACTGGGTAACCTATCAGTGAAGATCTTTCCAGACATCATACCTGTCTCTTCTTCCCCGTACCTGCCCCCCACCCCCCACTGCAGGGGTTGGCTTTTGACAACATCAGGACCTGCTCTGGTTCATAGCCAAGGCAGATAACACAAGCCTATTAACTTGAAAGTATAAGCATCTGCTTACCCAGAAGAAAAATAAAAGGTGTATACATTTTGGATGATCAGCCTGAAATTAGGAAAGTCATGGGCTGCCTGCAGCTACTGCATGGCTATTCCCTCCCAGGCCCCAACGTAATCAAGCCCCAATTTAATGAAATGGAAATGAATTACCGATAGACAAATCCTCCACTATTTTAAGCGACCTATCATTTTACAAACAATGAAAACAAGGATGCATTGCCAAATTTCCAGAAAGGGGAGAAAAAAAGGGGAATAAGTGCACTGAAGCAGGAAATGTGGTCTTCTATGTATAATTACAAGGCATAAAGCCAAGAAACTCAGACTTTTTTAAGGGAAATTGGTAAGGTGAAATGATAGACCTGGCATCATCATCAAATAATAAAAATAACATAAATAATATGGTACAATTGGCTATTGTGGTGTAATGAAATCCACTCTTGGACTGATATCACGTAGAGCTTATTACTGCTATGCATGTCACAATACTGTTGTTGGAAGGACAGCTACATTGTGCTGTGCCGATTTTCTCCATTAGGATGCCAAATAATAGAGGTTGTAATATCAGGTCACCACTGCAATCAAATTAAGGCTGCAATCTGATAGTCTAAATGACTTAGGCGTAAGCTCCATGGGATGAAGTAAGGCATACTTCCAAGTAAATATGCACAGGGTTGTGCCGCAAGACTTTGTAAAGAGGTCTTTTGAGACCCTCTCTCCATTCCTGATGGAGGTCACTAGCTTAAATGTAGGACAAACCCAACGGAATAGTCTATGCATGAGGCTGCCCTCTAGCTGTGGTTGACGGCTTCCAGGGAATCCACTTAATCGGGCAGTTCCCTAAAGCAGAACACATCCTTGGGCTGCTCAGCCTTGGAATTCTGAAGCCAGTTTTGTCTCCATCTAGGGGCTTCCATGTGATCCCTTTTCCTTATTCCATGAAACTGGATGAATGGAAAATGTCCACTTATTTGCTCAGAGAAGATTGCTGAGCTGAGAAGTCTTGAAGGGGGCAATCCAGTTACTTCTCTGACCAAGACCCCACGGTCCCCAAAGTTTGGGGATAGGTAGTGTGTGTTCTCACCTCAAGAGTTTTCCCAAATCCAGGCCTTTTCCATCACAACATTTAGCTCTGTGTCACAAGGAAAGTGGCTATATTTGTTCATGGGAGAATTGCGTTCACTCATGCCGCCTTCTCTATTAAAGTAGAGGCACCAGTGAAATTCACAATAACTTGAGTTATCCTTGAAGATGGCATCATCTGAGCCAGCTGTCCCCAGCTACAGCAACCCATATCCAAGGAGTAACATATTTGGCAGGCAGACATGTGAGATTAGTCATCAGATTTATAAAATCAGATGCGACCCTGTTGCTCCCTGGCATTACCTGATCCTTGCTGGGCTACAAGCGGCAGGAACACCTCTGAGCCCTCTGCAGCTTAGTTCACCCAGCAATTCCTTCTGTTAGTTTGGGCCACTTTTCTGGTGCAGAGGTAAGGTACCTGGGGGTCCGCCAACCTTACAGGAGGAGCCGGGGAGGCTGGCTACTCCCATGCCAGTTATGCTGAACTTGATGGAGCTCTCCATGGTGCTGAACTTCATCCCCAGAATAGGCTCCCCACCAGAGAGCAACTGTGCATGAGATGAACTGTGGCCAGAGACTGTGGCCAGACCAGGACATTAGTACCTTGACATGCACATCTGCATATATGTGAAGCCCTGTCAGATTCTGTGCTTGCACAACAGCCTTTCATCTTACAATGGTGTGGGAAGCTTTCATACCTGCAGAATGCAGGTAGCCCCCTGGGTTACCTGTAAATAGCAGAGGCCTTTGTGTGGAGGGCCACATCCCCCCCCCCCACCAGTGATGTCACCTCACAGCACACTGTGTGCAGCCTTGCAGGTCAAGGATTCCAGAATTTTCAGGCAAATTACGCATTTGTACAAAAGGGGTAGTCAGAAAGAAAATTTCCTGAGCCCACATTCCCCATAACAGCAAACTCCGGTGCCCACCTCCCTGCACCATAACCTAAAGGAATCCAGAGAAATGAAGAAATTGCCTCTAATGTTCTTCTCACTCTCTGGGGTTTTGAAGGAGGGTAAGGCAAGACTCAGGATGAGCAAAAGTCCCAAATGCATCACTGAGGTGCCCCCCTCAACAACACCTTTGAAATGGAATTTGGCCCTCTGCCTGAAAGTGATTCAACATCTGTTTGTGCTACACACTAGGGAAACATGAGGATTCCCCAAACCATGCAGGCAGAACATGGCTCTTGGTAGGTCTGAATGCAGGAATAAGCACACGCCCTCTTTAAATACTTAGAATGGTCAAAGAGGAGCTTGTGCCCCTCTCATTCCTTATTACCCGTTTGATCAGTGCAAATGCCCTAATCTGTGCCTTTTTCCTGTCCAAACTGAAGCAGCCCTGCTTTATTCAATAGAGGAACATTGTGCAAATTTGAGAAAAACCTGTGTGAACCTCTTGTTCAGATGTGACTTGATGTGCACACGTTCCCCGTTCACTCAGCATGCGCAGCAGATGCAAACACTAGAGGAAATCTATCATGAGACAAACGAGGAATCTCGCATGCTGCTTCTTCCCTCATCCCTTGCTACAGGTTCATAGAACAGCACCTCTCATTAACCACCTCCCATTCCTCCCTCCTCACTCTTAGTTGATGGTGCCGGATTGGAGGGAAAGCCGTACGAGGCAAGACTGAGGGAACTGGGTCATTTCAGCTTGGAGGAGAGGAGACTCCAAGGGGATATGTTGGCCACATATAGGTATGTGAGGGGGTGTCACACAGAGGTGGGTAAATACCTGTTCTCCCCTGCAGAGGAGGGCAGGACGCACTCCAACTGAGCAAAACTCAGGGAATCCGGGTTGCATGTAGATGCCAGGAAGCACTTCCCGACAGTCAAGACCCCGAGGGTGTGGAATGGGCTTCCATGGGAGGTGGTTGAAGCCCCATCGGTGCGGGTGCTCAAGGAAAGGCTGGACGTCCACATGGTGGGCATGTCGTGAGTGGAGCCGGCTGGAGCCGAGGGGTCAGACTAGATGGCTGGGGAGACCCCTTCTGACTCGCTCAGTTTCTATGTTTCTAAACTTACCTCTTTGCCCACCTGTCATCTTCCGCCCACTTCTGTTTCTCATGTTTACCATGTGCATTGCCAGTACCATATTAAATAATAAATTCAGCAGTCAGTGTCCCACCAATTAACCAGGCTTCCTGCAGGAAGGGGAAAAAAGATACAAGACGCACCTTAGCACACAGGTGTAGAAGCCACTATCTTGAACCTCTGCTGCATGAAACCAAATCGAGTCTTCATCTTTGCTCATCCTCACTTCCGAGAAGATAATGGGCTCTTCCATGTCACCTTTGTTTTTGTACCACATAAGCCGAAGTCCCGTGCTTTGAGCCATGCTGTAGTTAGTCCGGATGTAGCTGTAGAAAAGGGCGCATTTCACGCGGACTGGCTCACCTGCCAGAGACATGTATTTCTTGAGATCCACCAACCAGTCAATGCAACCATCAACTGTAAGCAAAAGGAACAAAAACAATAAATGAGAAAAAACGGGACTCACAACTTTAGGGCACGTCCTAAATTACAGACTTACAAACAAGAGCAGAACGAGATTTGCAATATGATGCATTGATGTTATTAATGAACCCTTGTTCAACAATTCTCAGCTCCATCTATTAGGAAGTTAATTATTTTATTTATTTATTTATTTTTCGATTTATATCCTGCCTTTTTCCTGCAAAGCGCTCGAGGCAGCTTGCATCATTCTCCTCCTCCATCTTATCCCCACAACAACAACCCTGTGAGGTAGGCTGGGCTGAGAGTCTGTGACTGGCCCAAAGTCACCCAGTTGGCTCCATGGCCGAGCGGGGACTTGAACCTCAGATCTTCTGAGACCCAGTCCCACGCTCTTAACCACTGCACCACACTGGCTCTGGTGCATTAATTAGATGCATTGATGGTTGCAAATGTGATAATAGTCTACAGTTGCTGGGGTAGACAAATGGACTTGGATGGAAAGCAGGAGCATTGTCTATCCCCTGAGCTTGGACCTGGCGCAGGCAAAACTGGACGGAAGCATGACCAAGCCTCTTCTACATGTAACACGCAAGTCCTCCCTCACAGACAAGCCAGGGAGTTACTTGGCTTGTATTTTTTTCAAATGTATGTTTATTTGAGCAAACTGCATTGCAAACTTTTGGACTGTGTGGATTTCAATCTCTTACTGTAGTCCAGTTCATATTCCCGTTCAAGAAGAGTGAGTTTAGTAAGCTTTCATTCTACACATTTCTCATAGCTCCTAAACCAAATGTGTAGCAGAGCAAAACAGCTTCTCTTTTTTCTGCAAACTGGCTTCAATGTTTATCAACAAGCTCGGTCCCATCCTGTTGGCAGCCTTAAGCATTACACTCAAACATACAAAATTCATCACAAAACAACCCAGAAAGCTCATAGCACTTCATCTCAACCCTAAACAAAGAGCAATTTAAATGGCTTTATTTGCCACTCCATGTTAAGAAGAAAGACCAACTGAAAGCCGATGCCTTACATTCCTGATGTTGATATAAAGGTTAAATTAGAGGGCCATGGTGTCCTGATTCATTCCAGGCTTTCTCTAGGTTTTCTTCACTTCCACCTCCAAGAAGCGTCTTTCTTAATTACAAATCAAATCCTTTCACCTCAACCACTTGACCTTATCGACCAGCAAGGAGATTGCATTTCTCAGCTTGAAGAAAATCCAGGTGGGCCTTGGAGCTCAAAAGCACACCCCCACCCACCTTTTCCTACTCTCTAATTAGCTATGTTTCATATAAAATGATGAATGGTGATGTTGAAATCCACACCAGGTTCAATTTTGACTTCAAGGGGTCTTTGTTTGTTATTTGGACACATGCCATCAATTAAGGCATCTGTCTAAGTACATTTGGACCAAAACAAACATCAGTACAGTATGAACCCAGGTGCCCCTCTCCCATCCTGTGCCCGCCATTTCCATTATCAAATAGCCATGATGACTCTTTGGCCCTGTGCACATGAATAAGACTGCAGAAGACAGCGACAATGTGCAGTTCAGGGAGACTGGAGTGCTGTGAGGTTCAGCACCATGGACAAATCCTTAAAAGTTCAAACTCCAGCCAGGAATGGATGCCCTGCTCCACTGAAATTTAGCCACACATCTCTACTGCCATTTAGAGTAGGTAGAAAACAGGGAAATACCAATATTGTACTCAGCAGCAGCTCATTTTTTTTCCACCAGTGGACCCCTTTTTAAATAATAAAGTCAGCATGAGAACACCTGAACTGAGGCAGTTTCCCATTCACTAGGATACTCTCAAGAGCTCAGGCCACATGGGACAAGTCTACATGTGCCTAGTTTCTGGAAGCAGCAAAGTTGGGGTGGAAAAGAACATCCATGTGGCCACCTTCCAAATGACCCAGGACATCCCACACCTGGTGCAACAGAAAAGAGTCCCACTTGGGAGTATCAAGACCTCGCCATCAGTATGCCAGGAACAGAGGCTGAATATTTAAAGTTGCTTAGACTTCCCTCTTGCAGCAGCTACCTTCCAGGCCTCTTTTTGGCTCAGCACTAGCTGCTGTGAAGCTCCCCAGCATGGCTCAGAAGGAAAGCAGCACCAGGCAACCCAAGGCATCACAGAAGCTGCTCTTGGGAGCCAGAGTAGATGAAACTTTAGTCTAAGCCAAGAGCTTAAAAACCTCCATAAAATAGGTTAATATGGACGAGAAAGTGTCCAGGCCTAGACGACCCAGGGCTGTGGCTCAGTGGTAGAGTACATTTTCATGTAGAAAGCCCAGGTTTAATCCATGGGCACTCCAGGTAGGGCAAGAGAAGGACATCTGAATGAAGCCTTGAAGGTTCAGTCAGTCCTGACCATACTCCACCAGATGGACCAATGGTCTGTACAAGGTAGTTTTCCAGGTTCCTATGTTTGACAGAGAGCAAGAATTTGAACCCAGGTCTCAAGCTGAACAATCAGTTCAGTTCAAATGGCACTAGATTCATCTACTCTGGGCTCTTAATTCTGAGCAAAAACATTTAGGATTGCACTGCTTGTGTTCAAAGGTCTTTCTCCAGTGCTTCAGAATTTCAGAACCAAAGCCTCTTTAACAGTTCTCTCTATCTCTTAATTGTTTTTTTCCCTCCTTCTAGTTGCTTTAAGCTTTTCTCAAATCCCTTCAAATCCAAGCCTGGAGGATTAATTTCCAAATCACAGCATATCAAATTTAATTACACTGTGGTCACTTGAACCAAATAAGCGATCCATATTTCAAATGCATTTTGCACAGTTCTGCTAAATTTCCTTTTCCAAGCCAATAACATGTAAGGCACTGAAAAGGGTTAAGTTCAAGAGGAAGCAGACATGACTGGAAAACTGATAAGAGCCCTGTGTTTTAAAAAAATCAAATTGAACTAAGACCTAACATTAGTGAAACATCTTTTTTCTTCTTGTTTAGCTCAGTGATAAATATTTTGTGTCTGAAACATAGGTTTTATAGGGTGTCAGAAAAAGCTAGGCACACCATCCATCGTACTGAATAGGTAGGACATTTTCTTAATACCTTTACAACTTTTCATAAATGAAAAAGGTCATTTCCTATATGTGAATGGCCATAGCTCCAGATGTTTCCAGTGTAACCTTCTGTTTGCCATTCAGAACTAACAGCACTGAAGCTTATTTCCAGAAAGGCAGGTATATGATTGCAGCCTTCATCTACTAGCAGCCATTCTATCAGGACTCAGTGAAAAGAGAGATGAGGTGAATGACCAGCCCATGAGTTCTGGTGATGAAGACAAGGCTGTTTTTCTAGCAACAAGCTAACAGTGGAACTTGCTTCCAAGGGAAGTCTGGTTAGCTCTATTCCTGTTGAGCTTTCGTCAGGCACTGAAAACTTTTCTTTCACAAAGCCTTTGGCTTTTGAATTATTTTGGCATGTTTTAAAGAAAGGCTTGTTTGTATGTTTTAATTCTGTTTTGTCTTCTATTTTCATTCTGTTTCATCACTTTGAAAAACCTGGTTTGCCAGAAGGCAATTAATAAATTTTTAATACTAATAAATATAGCTTCTTTCCTGGAGTCCTGGCCTCGTAAATTCCATGTTAAAGAGATGACAAATAACCCTAGAGAACAAGAATTAGGTATACATTTGAAAAACAAAAAACAAGACTTTGGGAGACCTCAGCATGACCTTAACAAGGGATGGATATTTCTTCTCACTGCTAGAGATTGCTTATTTGAACAGCTTATTAAAAGCAGTTCTGAAGGTTGACCTAAGAAATCAAACACGGGTAACCCTTTAGATCAAGAAACAAGCAATCTAGATTCATCTCACTTCTTGGCTGAATGGTAGATGTGGCCTTGGTTTGTGTAAACACAATCTGCTTGATTTGACATCTAGGACATTGCTTGTATGGAAAGCATTCCTGTAGTTGTTTTCAAAATGAGAGACGAGGAGCAACCCTTTGTTTTCATGTTCTTTCACCATTCATAGACTTGATTGTTATAACACTTGACTTTATATTCTTATGTAATCTCATCAAGCCCAGAGTCTTGGTGAGGAATGTGATGAAAAACCACAATCAAAAGATGTGAGCAGGATGAAGCGGGACCTCCTAGAACAACAAGATGCGGCCATGTGCTTCAGCCTCACCAAAGCCATACAAGGCACATGACAATGCACCAGAACATGCTTGACAACCCAAGGTCCTCCATTCAGACGTGGTGGAATCATAGCGCAGTGTCAGAGCACAGGCTACGCAGGTTCAGTTCCCAGAATCCAGTAAAAACTATCATAGGAAGCTGAGGTGGAGACTGCCTTAACCACAAACTCCTCAAACCAGCATCTAATTAAAATTTGCCAATATTTTGTCCCAGGTTTGTACTGTTTTGTGCCAGAAATCCTGAGCTTTGTGCCAACACCTATAAGTGTCTAGTGGTGCATCACATGGGTTCATAGTTAACTCACACCAAAAACCACATTTCCATATCACCTCCGAGGACATGCCAGTTTCTACCTTTGCTGCATTATACTTATATCCCACCTTTGATCTTCTTTCAAGGAATCCAAAGCTGTTTACAAAGTTCCTCAACTCTTCATCTTATCTTCACAGCAAGAACCCCATGAAGCAGCTTAAGCTAAGAATGAATAACTGATCCGAAGTCAGCCAATGAGCTCCATGTCAAAGAGGGGACCAAACCCAGATCTCCTGAGCTCCAGTCCAACATTCTAACCTTCATACCACACTGGGTCTCATGTTTTCTGCTGTTTTGTGCCACATATCCCAAATTCTGTGCTGCCGCCACCAGAAGGATAAAATAGCAAAGCCCTCGGTGGGGCTTGGTGAGTGCTAAAGAGTCCACTTGCCTCCAAATGCATGCCAAAAACAACGCAAAGGTAGATAATACATGATATGCAGGACTCCATGTTAAGTGTCTTGGGTTTCCATTTTTGAAAAGAGCAAATATGAAGTTTTCTGAGTGTGACTGGAAATACAGGGAGGGAAGCTCATCCAGCAGCACAGTGCAACAGGGCACCCGCTTTGCATGCAGATGGTCCCAGTTCAATCCCAGCATCTCCAGGTAGAGCTAGGAGAGAGGGTTTCTGAAATCCTGGGACACCCCTCCTGCCAGGTAAGGAGGACCAGATTCTCTCAA